AATTTTGACCTATTGCTAGATCCTTATAGTATCTTTGGAGGCTATTGAATTTAAATTCTGTTAAACACTTATTTATTAGTATTAGAATTATATATTTTATTGAACTTTTCTTTTTAATGACAAATAGATCTAGTAATGAATTCTAGAACCATTATACTCTATTTTCTTAAAAACAAACAAAAACTTCTAACTTTATTATAACCGAAAATAATTCTTACAACTCTTAAAATCTTCTACCTTTACTATTTCCCTTCATTCTATCATTATCCAAATCAAATACTGGCTAATCTACCCAATCTTCATCATCAAAATCTAAATCTAAAATCTCTTCTTCTTCAATAACTTTTCTTTCTCTCTTATTTTTCGATCTAAAATTATTAAAATTACAATATTATTATTATTGTTATTTTTAATAATATTGCTATATTATAATAATACCTCTCTTCTTCATCATCTTCACTTGAATCTTAAATAGTCATAGAACTATCAGCTTCAATTTCTACTACCTCTTCCATACTATCTTCTTCTTCAACCTCTTCTTTTTTACCCCTTTTCTTCATATTCTCCCTATAATTAAATCGTATATTATTTAGTATATACTGTATTAAATTAACTAGATAATATAATTATTTAATTACCATAACATTTCTTGTATTTTCCGCTTCCAAAAATTCTTCTCATTATTCAAAATCTCCTTCTCCTTTTTCAAAATTAACTTCTCTTTTTCCAAAATATCCTTCTCCTTCGTCTAATCATCTTTTCTTCTTTGCCAAAACAAATTATCTTCTTCCATTACCTTTTTCAACTCTTCCCCTAAAACTATTTTTTCTTTCTTCAACTTTGTGATTTGCTTTTTCAAGTGAATACCCCAATACAATCTTTGATCAACTGGTTCTTTTTCAACCATTCTTCATCTTTTACCCGTTTATACAACTCCTTATATTTATTCTTCCATTTACCACCTTTCTTACTTACAAAAGACCCTTCTTCTTCTCTTATTTCTCTCATCAACCTCTCAAACATATCTGATGACATATTTTCATTTTCTTGACACTTCTGTCTCCATCGATCTTTATGATCCTCCATCACTTTAACTTTCTCTTCTAACCTTTTTTTTTCTTTCTCAAATATTTAATCCATACATTCTTTCTAATAATTAGTTATAATAATTATTATTATTATTATTACTACCCCTTATATTATATTATTCTTACCAATTTTTACCCATTTCTTTTCTATAATTATAAACATTTATTATTAATTTAATTATTACTATTATTCTTATTTTTATTATTAATTTAATTTACCCTTCTGGACGTCTATATGGAGATCTTTCTCATTTGTGTTGTTTTCGATAAGTATGCACCATATTGATGTAGATATTATTGCTGATGTAGATGTTGAATTATCTTGATATTCTACGAACTTTAACAAACTTAACGATCAATATTATATCTAACCTCTGCATTGTACCAACTTAATCACATGAAATCCTATGCTCTAATTAGACACTTTACAAGAAGCTAGAACTATCTTAAACAGAAAAAATTTAAAAATTAGACAATTACCTGTTGTAGTAAAGTGGTGATGTCGTGTGGCTATTGTAGAGTCATACATTCGAATCCTGCCTGTGAACTGCTCAATCTACCAACGGGTTATGTGATGGCATAAGCACTGCAACAACCATTTGTTTTATTCGAATAACAAATAGTTGTGCTAACAAAATTTAATATAATACGTTAAAAATATTTCTTATTAGAAATATACAAGTTTTCGAACAATATTATTTTAACAAAATTTAAACATTTTGTTAACTTTTTATTGAACAATTTTATATTAACAAAATTCGAATATTTTGTTAATCAAACACTATTATAAACTTTTATTGAACTTTTATTCAAGAAACAGAATTTAAATTATTATTTGTTATAATTTTATTTTTTCGTTACAACTTTATTATTCATTACAACTTTTCGACACAATTTTATTTATTACAATATTTTGTTACCAAAATTTTATTGTTATAACTTTATTGTTATAATTTTATTCGTTATATTTTTATTCATTATATTTTTTTTATTCGTTATAATTTCTTTAAAACGACACTATACAGTGCACCCTGTATTTTGTGCATCTTCCTATAAAATTTATATAAAATCGCTAATTTCTCAAAATTTTGACTAAGTAACCCTGTCATATAATATAAGCAAAAATGTTTCTCTCGCAATTTTATCTTACCCTAATCCTAAATCTAACTTTAATTCTAACCTTAACCTAATCTAATATCTATTGCCAGCTTAATTTTACTATTGGGTGCACAAAGTGCATAGTGCACTGTTTAGATTTTTTCTTTCTTTATTATACTTTATTATTATTTTTACAAACTTATTTTGATACAATTTTATTATTCGTTACAATTTTATTATTATTTTATTTATTAGATTAGAATTAATTTTTTTTATTAACTTTATTTATATAATTATCGATTATTACAAATTTTATTAATTTTTAAATTTTATTACATTTATTA